TTTGTAAAATGGTGAAGCATGTAAATTACTCCCTAAACATGTCAAGAGGTGGCAAAAAAGCCCCTCAACTGAAATCAATAGCACATGACCCCTTAAACTAATGAACGGTGGCAAATCAGCCATTGTTTAACAACCATATTAGTATTTCATTTGGGTTAAATTTGCTACTATTTTTAGTTCACTACAAGAAAACGAAACATTTTGTGACTAAAAATAGTAACTAATTTCTAATTCATCACTAATATCTTTTATATTTGTAACTAATTCAAGATATTTGTCTTTAATACTAATTTATAAAATTCAAATATATAATTTTGACGCAAAACTTATTCAATTACAAAAAATTTGTCACAATAAATAAAATAAATTTGTTATAATCAAAATTGTCACTGTAAGTTAACTATTAGTTACTAAGAAGATATTAGTTACAAATGATTAATTTTTATCATATATACCAAGTTATATTTGTAACTAAACTTTTTTATTTGTAACAATTACATTTGTGATGATATATACAATTTATCACAAAAAAAAACAATAGATAACAAAATTTTCTGTCACAATTAGATTATAATTGAACTTGAGAAATAAAAAAAAAAAATCGTGACTGTAATAGTAATCACACATTAGTGAAAAAATTTTTTATTAAAATATAATTTTTTATTTAAATTAATTCAAAAAAATGTACACCACTCACAACTTTATTCTTTAATAATTTTTTTTATTCCTCTAATTTTATAAAAACCATGGTGAACCATGGTGCTCATAATTTTATTAAATATCTTATTTATTATCTATTCATGAATATTTAATTATTTCTTACACCCAAAGAAATACACATTCTTATAGAGTTTTTTTTTCTTTTTTATCAATTTCTTTAACCAACAAACTTTATTATTAGAGAATAAGAGATATTCCTACCTTTACAAATCAAATGACATTAATATTAGATCTCTATACTATTATTAACTCTACAAAATGTTACCTCACTCAAGCATATAGATAGAAATAAAAGCATACAACATACTTGCACTAAGAATACCTTACATGCACATAATCATATATAGGGACACTACATTTTCACAGCATATTTGCACTGACAACTTCATGAGTGAAATTGTATTTAATTAATGACCATAACTAATTCAAGAGGGGGGTTTTCAAAATTACAACTTGACAAAATATGAAATGTGTGATGACGTAATTGAAAATGCCCCTTATTTGTTCCTACTATCAAGTCACCTATGTCTTATGGAGAAAGAGTTTGAAGTGGTGAGGTTTATATTCACTAACGGTTGAGAAGTTTTTTGCCAACACTTGGCATTAACCTTAACTAAGAGGGTGAGAGAAGGGTGGGAATTAGGAAGTGGAATGGCTTGCTTATGTATGATCATTATAGTTAATTAGGAATAACCATGTTATATATATATATATATATATATATATTTGGAAGTGATATAATCGTTAGAGTTTAGGAGTACCTTTTATACTCTAAATATTAATAAAAATCAACTTTTATTGTTAAAAAAAAATTGATAACAACAATAACTTCGATACAAGTATATAATATATTAATTTTTA